TATATATATATATATATATATATATAAATATATATAATGTATGTATAAATACATGTATAAATATACATATATACATATATACATAAATATACATACACACACACACACACAAATGGGATTCAATCGGGTCAAAATTCTCAGAAGTACCTTTCCGTCCTTTTGAGAGTTTGAGAAAGAAGGTAATAATAACCTTCTTTCTTGTTCTTCGTCCGTCCTTCTCTTCTGTATTGCTCATAAGAAAAGCAAGGGGCCTAATCAGAAGGGCTGGCAATTTTCGAATGCGGTAGGATCGCTCGAGTTTAGCCGCGCGGGCTCAGGTGCGCATCGAGGTAGTAAACGGCCTTCTTCGCCGTCCAGTCTAGGGCGCCGTAGGCGCTCGCACTCCACCCACCGACCGACCCGCCGGAACGAAGCCCTCAGTCAGTCAGCGGACCGGCTTGTCCTTACCAAGCGCGGGCTCCGTGGAGGCAGCCGGGACCACGCGCCTTGCGCGTCCGTCCGCACCGGGGGCAGAAGGCAGTCGCAGTCGGGGCTGCGGCTGGGGGAGGGTGAAGTCATCGTCGGCGGGAGGGAGCGGCTCGACCCCCTCCACCGTCTCCTTCCTGCGTTTGGGCCCGAAGAAAAGGAGGGAGCGAGGTCGGCGTTGCAAGCCCGGCAAGCCTCGCCGCGCGCGCCGGCTGAAATGACGTCGCGCTTTTTCTTTTCTTTTTTTTTTTTGCAAAGCGCGGGTCGAAGGCGACGGCCGCCTCAAAGGAGTCTCTTCTCCGAGAGATTTTCTCGCACTGCTCCGGGGACCGTTTCCGCGTCCTCGGCGACACCGAAACCGCTCATCCTGGCCGAGCGGATGAGTGGTTCCCAAGAGTTGGACATCCAGCAATGGCACATTTCACGCAAGCGCCTGGCCTGGAAGAGCGCGGTGGAGATCCGCACTGCACAGAAACAACGCCGCAATCAGCGTGCGGGGCACGTCTCGCTCCGATGAAAACAGCTCCCTTCTTTTCTTTTCGGGGAACCCTGCTCTGAAATTGTGGCAGGTCAAATGTTTGAGAGGCGGCAGCAGATGCTGCCGAAAAGTAGCATCGGTTGGGGCAGTTGCTTATTGATACCCAGAACAACACGAGACCAGCGTGCCTTTTTCTCCATCCTATCTCAAGAGTGTGAATTGTCGAGCATTTTGAATGGCACAGCCCAGAGCCAGCCGATGCTCACCCAAAGCTAGCAGGATTTCAATTCACAGAAACGAGTGCGGCAATAAATGCATTATTCTTGGAGTTTTCCTATTTTTTTAAAAAAGAAAACAGGTAGTAGTTATGTTGGCAACAAGGAATATGGAAGCAATGTACTTATTAAATCAACTGCAACTTTACAAAGTGGTCATAACCGCCTAAGTTTCAAATATTCTTCATCAAGGAAGATTAGGGAGAAAAAAAGGAGGGAGAATGGCTGTTCCAAGTTACTTTCTCAGCTGGCATGGGGGGGGGGGTCTATATACAGATGCTGCTGACATCAGCCATGACAGAAGCTCTCCCAAAGCTTTCCAAGGAAATAAAGCATGTTTTTTCTGTTATTTTTATGAGATACAAGAAATACCTGCTGAAGTCAAGACTGTTTCTATCCTGTAGCAGATCCTCTAGCTGAAGGAAAAGAGCGACAAAGCAACCTGGCTATCACTTTCTTGGTAAAGTTAGGTACAATGTACTAGGAAAGCAACATCAAACCTAAACTGGATAGGATGCTCTAGCATTGGAAGTGGCAGTCATAGAAGCCATTTATATTTTCTTATGTATACATGTGCATGTTGCATGTGCAGGTATGGGTGTTCTTCCTTCATGTGTATCTATTATTGAATCATCATTCATCAGGAAGAATGGGGAAGGGGTCATGTCACCTCTGGTCATGTGACCAGGGAAGACTACTTTGAGGTAGGTGCCAACATATGAGCTGCTCCCCACTTGCCTGTCCCATAAGGTGGCTTGGGTGAAATTTGGGCTTTTTTTGCAGCTCTGACCAGTTCCATCTTATTTCAAAGTTGATCTGTTTTTGTCAGGTCCTCCCTTGGGCCAAATGTGGTTCTGTTCTTGTCTTAGGAAATAATAGTTTGAAATTTCGTGATTACAAGCAGATGCTCAACACAAAAAGTGTCCTCTACGAATCACTATCCATAAACTTATAATCTAGAAGAGGCAGCTCAAAACAGAAAAGGCGGTATATTATACGTATATTACAATGATACATCATCTACTAGTGTTTTTCAGTGGGATCTTGCTACATGTTATACGGAAGCATGAGGGAGAAGCTATCATCATATTAATATTCACATTCATCTAATAGTAGCAAATTAACAATTTTGTTCCCCAGTCAGGAAAACACAGGAGCTGAGAATTATTTGTACTCCTATTATAGTGTTGATCCAGTACTATTGCCATGGGGGAGGAGGGGCAGAAAAGATATGAAATATTTTCTAAGTCTTTTCATTTTCTCCCTTTTTTTGTTTACAAATTGAACTGCAGCTACCATGTCAAATAACTGAAAACATATTGTTCAGAGGTAAAATCTCTGGAATGATAGACAAAGCTGATTCTTTTAAAGCACGAGACAGATATTAAATCTTAATTCATATCCTTTTATGCATAGGCAGATTGCCAATTAACTCCATTATTAGGGCAGTTTTATATATAGCCTTTTTTTAAAAAGTGACTCACACAATTTGTTTTTGTCTTAACAAAAACTATATGTTGTTTCTTATTCAGACATATAGTGTCATTGAAAATCACATAAACATACAATCATCTCTAGAATTAATATTTTTCTCTCACTAAGGCAATCCAGAAATGATCTCAGTGAAGTTTCCTGGAGGAAGATTCAAGCAGTTTGTGATGTTCAAACCCCAAGTATGGGTTTTTCTTTTAATGGCAGCTGTGTCACCCATCTGTGTTCTTATTTATTATAACACAATGGTTTTGAAAAATAACCTTCCAACTTTTTGAATTTGTTCCCCAGAGTAAAGTGACAACCAGCAAAGCTTCTTTAAATTTATGAGACATTATTCAAGTGAGCAGTATGAATCAAGATTCTGGCCATCTTGCCAACCAAAATTTCCACATTATTTTTATAGATGAAGGATTATAATAATTCAAACGAGTTTACCAGACTATGGAGGAATATATTTACAAAAGTAAGATCAGAAATTAACAAGATTTGTGTACATACTTCCTTACCAACTCTTTTGATTATTTTTGCAGATGGAATAAATTGGAACTAAGATTTGCCTTCTAGAAGGAAAGGGAAGAGGATGAACTAAGCTAGAAAGATCTCCTTGGCAACAAGAATTGGAACAATTAAGTCATCTTTTTGTGATTGGAACCTACCCTACTCTCTCACAAGACCGAGTGGCAGTTGTGTTTCCCTCCCAAAAATCTGGTTAGTATTCTATCACTCGGGCTGGGGGGTGAAATTTTACGCCCCTCAGACAGGGCTCGCAACTTGGGAGTCCTCCTGGACCCACAGCTGACTTTAGAACATCATTTCCGGCTGTGACCAGGGGGGCATTTGCCCAGGTTCACCTGGTGCACCAGTTGCGTCCCTACCTGAACCGGGAGGCACTCGCAACAGTCACTCACGCCCTCGTGACCTCAAGACTGGACTACTGCAATGTGCTCTACATGGGGCAGCCCTTGAAGAGCATTCGGAGACTTCAACTTGTCCAGAATGCAGCCGCGCGAGCGATTGTGGGTGTACCTCAATACACCCACGTTACACCTATCCTCCGCGAGCTGCACTGGCATTGGTCTCCGGATACGCTTCAAGGTGCTAGTTATTACTTATAAAGCCCTTCATGGTATTGGACCTGGGTACTTGAGAGACCGCCTGCTGCCAATTACCTCCCAAAGACCCATTAGATCGCACAGGGTCGGCCTCCTCCGGGTTCCATCTACCAGCCAATGCCATCTGGCTACGACCCGGGGGAGGGCCTTCTCTGTTGCAGCTCCGGCCCTTTGGAACGAACTCCCCGCGGAGATTCGGACCCTCACCTCTCTCCTGGCTTTCCGAAAAGCCGTTAAAACCTGGCTGTGTCGGCAGGCCTGGGGTTGATGAGCTCCCTTCCCCTCTTGACAGGTGTGGTTGTTGGTCATTTTAAATGTCTGTCTTGTATTTGTATGTGCCCCTTCCCATTAGAGTTGTTCGCCGCCCTGAGTCCCTTTAGGGAATAGGGCAGCATATAAATAAAACTTCAAACTTCTTTTTCCTAAGAGAACCAAGTTACCAAAATCAAATTCCTGTTCTAAGGGGAAAACAATTTTTGCACTTTTCCTCTCAAAATATTTCATTTTAAAAGGAAATATAATTATATGTGTCCATTTTAATTCTATAAGCTGACAAGATTTGTAAAATATGAATAATTCATATGAATATAAAGTACTTTTATATCATAAGCCATGGGTCTCCAAGTCGCTGCCCACTACCTATTTGCAACTGGCTTGTAATTGGTTGAGCTGTGTGCACCACCGTGCAGTTCACTTAAGTTGAGCTGTGTGTGCACACATGTGCGCCAGCCCTCCGCTTACAGCACCTGGTTCCCCTATCTCCCCCCCACCTCTAAGCTGCCCAGCTGCAGAGGTTGGGAATTGCTGTCGTAAGCCATACCATGGTTTCTCTTGATCAAATTACTTTTATGAAGAGTATCAATACAACTTTTAAAGTATTGTATGTACTTCTCGACCTCGTTTCCTTTCAGAACTAAAAGTAAAGAACCCATCATTTATATTCAAGAGACTGATTAGATCCCAAATATCCTTATTAGAGAGTGTTAGCTCCTCTCCTAAATGAAAACACTTACTTGAGATCATACATTGAATGATAAACATGCCATGCACACCCAAATTTTTACAAATAATTAATTTATTCAGCTTTAAACTAAATACACAACTGAAAGTAAGAAGATGCATTTGGCACTACCCTATACATGTTATTTCTTCATTGAGTCTCAGGACATGCTGTCCAGGTTATACTGCCATGTTTGCTTTCTCAACAGGCAGATGATTTAAAAGCATATTATATTCCTTTTAAACAAAGAAAAAATACAGAGTGAATGTATTTTTCAAGTTTGTGTTGTTTTTGTTTTCTTAAATGGGAAAGAGATTTCAATTCTATTATTTACCATACATTAAAATATACCATTACTTAGGATGGTAGCAAGAGAAAAATATTGGTAAAAAAATCAATTCATTCACTAATGATAAATGAATAGTAAACCCAAAACTAAATAACTTCATTAATGACAATCAGCAATATTATAAACCAGAAGAAATTGGCATTTGAATTGGATACAAAAGCTAAAGCAGTATTTTAACATTGAAAAGTGTGAATCTTTACAAGAGAATGTCACAAATGGATTATGTAAAACTTTTGCAAACTATACAGTACTTTGTCAATGCAATGCCTCTACAATTTATACAATCTTTTACATGTTTGTAACATGTATTGAACATGTTGTGAAGTAGTGAGTCAATAGCCACCAAAGTCACAGACCAAAAAGGAATTTGGTGGGGACAGATACAGTACTTCTGTATTTTAATGCAACTTAAATATCTGTTCCAGCATGGAGACATAGAGTGAATGAGGAAAGGTGGGAGTTATCAATACAGAACATTTTATTTTAACCATATAACCAGTGGTCTTTTACCACTCATAATAATAACATATATACATGAAATAAAACAATAGCAAATATCTGTTGTTGTCCATGGGCTCTACTAAATTGGAAAAATGTAAGCTGCCACTTACAAAACCAGGGAAAGTTAAAGTTAAGTACCTGGATGAATGATCTTATTGAAAATTTGGCCATGAAACAAAGATTAACAGTATGGATTTAGAAGCTAAGATTTGAAAGAGAACTGAGCACAAAGCACTGCATAGCTTGGTTTTTGCATATGAGCTAAAAAAGAAAGTAAAAATCTTTTTTAAAAAATTGGGATGGTATTACTACCTACACTTATACCCAAGGGTACTATGAAGAATTGGGCATGCATATTCTTATAGGTTGTGTGCCCAGTTATTCACCTGATATCAATAAACAATCCATTTGAATTTGAGAAATTGCAATATTAGCCATTCCATAAGGTAGAGTTTATCTTAAATACAAGACACTTGCATGGATGTATGAAAGAAAATTACAATTCTCTTATTCATGCAGAGACTTGTTACTATGCCACAGCTTTTTTCTTCAGTTAAACAGAAATCTAATCATCTTCAAGGGACATACTATACACACTTTTTAAAAAAATTGCAAACAAGCCTCTGAATTACTGAATCCAAATATTCAGTAAAATTTAAATTTCTTTATCTTTACAAAAATGAAGCAGTCTCTTATTTTTCTGAGACCCTGAAAGAGACAGATAATATGACAATGACAAAAGCCAATCTATCTTTAGGAAGAACAAGGGCATTTGCTTATTTTAAGCGTAGAGTCTGGAATGGAAATCTGTCATCAATATAATCTACATACTATTTTACTTCCCAATTGCAAAGGAAGATTATCAATCTTTCCTGTTCTTTGGAAAGTTGGTGAAATTTTGGGTATTTCACGAGACAGCGTTATTGTAACCATCTCTCTGTATGAGCAATTATTTTAAATAGTCTTTAGGCGGTTTGAATCCTTGGACATATATTTCTACTATATATTTCTGATTTTAATTTTTGACATGCGTCTGTGTGTGTTGCATTTGTGTTGATAAATAAATAAAGGGAGACTAGTATAGATAAAGGGAGACTAGTATGTGTGTGTGTGTATATATGTGTGTGTGTGTGTGTGTGTGTGTGTGTGTGTGTGTGTGTGTGTGTGTGTGTGTGTGTGTG